CCTCCTCTTCCTCCTCCACTACCTACTCCTACTCTTATTTCTACTCTTTCTCCTTCTCCTTCTCATCCTCCTCCTTTACATCGCGACACAATTGCTATTTGGCAACACTCGATAGATGGCGCGACAATCAAGCTCGCTTACAGTGACCTCTATACTCTTACGCCATTTTCTTCCTAGTATTTTTCTTTGTCGTCATTCGGATCGCCATGTTCATTCTTACTCGTAACCATCTATGTAACTATATCATAATGATTTTGATTCGTCGATATTGGAAGTTACCAGATTATATGGAGATATAATTGGTATTATTATTGTATCGTTCTTTTCTTCTTCCTCTTTCTTTTCCTCTTCTTCTTCATCTTGTTGTTCCTTTTTCTCTCGCTCCTTCTCTCTCTCTCTCTCTCTCTCTCTCTTTTATCTCTACCATTTCAGTTTTTTTTTTTTTTTAAGATTGTACCACTAGTGTCAGTCAGATTCTGACGCATTCTGACGTGTACAATAATTGTGCCGTCGTCGATAGGTTAGTTTGGAGTATTAGATATCGGATTGTTCCTTTATTGTTATTAAAAAGATATACGATCATGCTCGATCTTTTTACGATATTTAGTAAAGGTGGGATCGTATTATGGTATTTCCAGAGTACGTCGCAAATTTTTACACCTAGCGTTAACGCATTAATTAGAAGTGTTATTTTGCAAGTAGGTATATCAAGCATCTGGTATGATTGAATATTAAATTCGATAATGATTGTACGATTTATCGATTTTTTTTTTTTTTGTTTTCTTAAAAGATATCATTTTTAACATAAATTAATCAAATACATTGCATATATCTTTTATATTGATAAGTAACACAAGTTTAACTCTTAATATCATTAATAATAGTTATTTATCCAATTTTTGTTTTTTTTTTCATTTTTTTTTTTTTTTGTTTTTTTTTTAGGAACGTACAGGAAATCACACCTTTGAACATGAATCGTTACGTCTACAGTATAAACTGGACAATGAATTTGAATTAGTATTCGTTGTGGCGTATCAAAAAATACTTCAGTTATCATACGTAGATAAATTCTTAAATGACATACATTTACAGTTTAGGGATAAATTTAAAAATGAATTAGAAAGTTCTCAATGGTTTTCTAATTTTGAATTTAAACAATATTACGATCATGTATTGGCTGCAGCCGAACAATGGGCACGGGCGCAGGCTAAAATACCTAAACAAATGCGTACCTTCGATGAGAGTTTAAAATCTAAAAAGACTGTTGCTAGTATGATAGAGAGAAAAGATGACAAGGATAATAAAAAACAGGGTATGTAATAAATTTATCTTAATATTTCTAAATAAATATATATACTTGAAATAATAATATTGTTTAACGCAATTTGCATAGAATATAAATTATTACTAACATTAAAAATTAGAAATATTTTTCTTTGCTTCTTAGGTAAAAGGAAGAAGGGAACTATTAACAATAATGAAATTGATCAAAGTAAGTTGCTTATTCATGCTGCCTTTTATTAGAAATAATCTAAAGCAGATGCATACTTAACCTTGATTATACATTTTTTTGTTTGGTTGTTTGTTTATTCATTATTCTCTTAACCCTTTGAGTGCTGAATACTCGTGGCCTATGCAGTCCATACGACTGGCGCTGATAATCGCCACGTGACTGAACACTTTTTCGCGCAATAGAAACAATAGAAATTGCCGAATATATACATTTGACCAATAGTACAAATCATTTTAGCCAGGCGCATATTTGCGTCCACAGTCCATACCGATACCATCTGTCGAGCGCATATTTGCGTCCATAGCCTATATCGTTAGCTTTCGCTGGACGCATATGTGCGCCCATATCACTCAAATGATTAAGTATAAGAATAATCCATTGTCAATTGTTTATATGAATTATTTCAGCAAAGGTGCAAGAAATATCAAAATTGGAATCTTCTAAATCACAAATAAATCATAATGGAGAATTGGATGAAGAAACGCTTATTGCAAATCGTATGAAACTTGCTCAGAAATTATCTGGACAAAAGAAAAAAGCCGATAAGCAGTAAATTAATAGTTTTGTTTTTACACACACACACATACACACACACACACACACACACACACATATATATATATATATAGACATTTAAGTATAACAATTTAAATTCTTATTAACATTAGTATTTATTATTTATTAATAGGAAGAGTCCCAAGTCAGAAAAAGCAGGAAAGAAACCACGTGTTTGGGAACTTGGAGGGACTACCAAAGATCTTGCTTCATTGGAACGTACCAAAGATAAACCGGAAGAGATTGGAGATTACGTTCCGGCTGATACAGGAGTAAATATCCTTGCATGTAATTAATATACTTATACGATCAGTTGTGACATGTTAAAGGTTATCATTATTTTCTCTCTCTTTTTTTTTTTTTTTTTTTTTTTTTTTTTTTTTTTTTTTTTTTTTTTTTTTTTTTTTTTTTTGTTTATTAGTTGGTGGGTAAAATGAAGGGTACCATTCGTGATTTGGAAGTTGAAAGTGATTCTGATGATGAAGATTCTGACGATAGGGAAATGGAAAATACGAAAGCACAAGTACAAAAGAAAACAAATAGCATGTTTTCTATGTTCAAGAGCCTTGTTGGGAATAAATCTTTAAAGGACGAGGATATGTTTCCGGTTTTAGAAAAATTCAAGGATCATTTGATTTCAAAGAACGTAGCAGCTGATATTGCACAGAAGTTATGTGATTCTGTTCGTGTTAAATTGGAAGGAAAAGTTCTTGGTACATTTGATAGTGTAACAAGTACGGTTAAATCCACTTTAACCGATGCGTTGGTACAAATATTATCTCCGAAACGGAGAGTTGATATTTTAAGAGATGCTTTTGAAGCTAAAAAGAATAATAGACCATACATTATGGCATTTTGCGGTGTTAATGGAGTAGGCAAATCTACCAATCTGGCTAAGATTTGTTTTTGGTTAATAGAGAACAACTTTCGTGTACTTATCGCAGCGTGTGATACATTTAGGTAATTTAAAAAAAAAAAAAAAAAAAAAAAAAAAAAAAAAAAAAAAAAATTTCTTTCTTAATTCATACGCACGTTTACATTATATTCCATGGAATTGTCTTTCATCGATCATCGTCTATCAATATCTTGCGTTTTTTTTATTGTATTTAGAGCAGTCTTTGAATTTCTGATAAAGATGATTTTTGATTTAGAGCTGGTGCAGTAGAGCAATTGAGAACTCATATGCGTCATCTAAATGCCCTTCACCCTCCAGAAAAACACGGAAATCAATCTATGGTTCAACTTTATGAAAAAGGTTATGGAAAGGATGCAGCTGGTATAGCCATGGAGGCGATTAGATTTGCTAAGGATTCCAGGTTCGATGTGGTTTTAGTAGATACTGCCGGAAGAATGCAAGACAATGAACCTTTAATGAGAGCTTTAGCCAAATTGATTAAAGTTAATGAACCAGATTTGGTATTATTTGTTGGCGAGGCTCTCGTTGGAAACGAAGCTGTAGATCAATTAGTGAAATTCAATCAAGCTCTAGCAGATTATAGTAATTCTATCAATCCTCATATTATCGATGGTATTGTTTTGACCAAATTTGACACTATCGATGACAAGGTATTTTCAAGATTTTCAAAATGTATATTTTAAATTGAATCTTTCTTATAACCCCTTAACGCATAGTTTTTTTTTTTTTTTTTTTTTTAAACCAGCCGAAAAGAATCAATTTTTTTCTTTTTTTTTTACGTAAAAAAAACAATTTAGTACATTGTTTTGGCAAAAAAAAAAAAAAAAAAAAAAAAATACAAAAATAATCAAAATTTTTATCCTAATTTTGGATTTTCATACTCACATTGTGGAAAAGAGTTAAATATTGCAATGTTACACGTTTTTTTATCCTTCTTTTCGAATTGCTATTTCGGAAAAAAAAAAACATATTTCTTTTGCTTTCACATTGTTATTTTCAATTCTCAATAATTATATTCGAGTGTGAAAAATTATAGTACCATTAAAATACAACGTCGCTCAAATTAACTCGAGCGTAACAAGTTAAGGGGTTAATAATACTTTTTATTGATTTATTAATCATTTAACGATAAATGCAATTTTTTTTTTTTAGGTGGGCGCAGCTATTTCAATGACTTACATTACAGGACAACCAATTGTTTTTGTTGGAACTGGACAAACATATACAGATTTAAAATCATTGAATGCCAAAGCTGTTGTACATGCACTAATGAAATGAATGATATATAAAACAGCATATAAATGAAATTATAATATTCTTTCTAATTGAAATTTATTTATCTATCGTATCTGAGGAAAAATACAAAAAAAAAAAAAGAAAAAGAAAAAAAAAAGAATAAAAAAGAAAAGAAAAAGACAATGATTTATATATATATATATATATATTAAAAAATAAAACAAAACAAAGGGAAAAAATTACAAAATGTAATTTTAAAACGTCAAAAGATAAAAGTCACTTTAATTTCTCAATATTGTTAGGGATATCAGTGACCTCGATCATACAGCATTCCTATTGGATTATAATATAAATTATGTAACATTATATTTATTGTAAACATTTAATATAACAGTTTTATAGAAGAAATCAATAAAAATTGTCCAAAGTAATAATCTTTTTAGAATGTGTATTAAAAAATTTATCATCCTAATTATCTTTCCTTTTTATTGATAAAGATAATAGAGATTAGAATTGACGTTGACACTCTAATAAAATTTACAAATGTGTTAGTTAAAACAACATTGCTTCTTTTTAATTTCTTAATTATATCAAAGTGAAATAATCGTTTGTATAAATAAATAATTTTTTCCCCCACCCTCATCCCCAATTATAATATTTATTTTGATGATTTATATCAATGATTTATACAATATTTTATCAAGTTAATAGATCGCATATGCTTTATGATGGACGATTATTAAATTTAATAAAGAAATGTATAATTGTAATTGGAACGAATTTTTTTTTTTTTTTTAATGAAAAGAACAAACGAACAAAATATGATGTCAAGGAATAAAGGAAATTCTAACGAATGATTTTATTCGACAAAACTTTTGCTTTTAAATATTACCCATTGGTAATTGATCGCTTACACGATTATTTCTTTCTTTAATTTTGGAGATTTTATGTAGATCATCGTCGTTTTCTTCTTCTAATTCCCAATGAACGGCATCGTTGAATTTTTCTTCCTCCGTGATCGATCCACAAACGGACGTACGCATAATTAATCCTAAAAAAAAAAAAAAACGATTTTTTGTTTTTTTTTTTTATCCTTTTTCGCTTAACATCGAATATAGTTTATAAATAAATATTTTATATTTGTTTGGGATAGCACGTATGTATGTTGTATGTGGATATGAAAATATTTCAAATCTTTTTATGGCGCGATTTAACGACGACGCATGCGTCTTTACTCTTATATTTGAATTTTGGGATAGACGTACAACGCCATCTACAATGAAACTTTTCCCGCCAAATTTATATAATAACGAACAGTGTATTAAACGATGATTAATTTTGAAATTATTTTAAATATCTCTAAAAATATTTTTAACGATTTCGTGTTCATGTCTAAATATGTGTATGTGTATGTGTGTGTGTGTGTGTGTGTGTGTGTGTGTGTGTGTGTGTATGTGTATGTGTATTTATGCGTGTACTCGATTCTATTTTGTGAACGTATGAATGGATTTATATGAAAATTATATGAAATATCAGATTAATTCTAACAAGGATCTCATCTGGAATTTAGGTTCAATCTAATTTTTGCTTTAAAAATGTTGGTATTGTTTGAAATTAAAAGTATTCGTAAAAAATCACGCATGCAACGGAAAGAATAAAAATTTTTTATAGAAATGTTTGAAATGGTGTCAGAAATAACTATGAATTTTATCGAAATTTTTTTATCGAAAGATTCACAAATAATTCCGTTTCAATAACGATTTCTGAATAGCGGTTTTCAATTTTTTTTTTGGAAATTAAAAAATTCATACAAAAAATACAGGCGCAACGAAAAGAATTCAAATTTTATAGAAATGCTCAAAATAGTGTCAAGTGTGACAATAAATATTTTCAAAATATTTTCATGAAAGATTCGACAATGTAAAATAACATAAATAATAATAGTATTTAAAAAAAAAAAAGTATAAATATATATATAAAAATAGTAAATTGTAAAATAACGCGAATAAAAATAATATTGTAAAACAATGTAAATAGTAATAACAATAATAATATCGTTTAAAAGAAAAAAGCATAAGTATATATATATATATATATATATATATATATAAATGGTAAATTGCAAAATAATATAAATATAAAAAATCTTGAAAATAAATAAAATCTTGTTGTAAAGAAATTGTTGTAAATAAAAAAAAAAAACGACGTCGTTCGTTTGTTTGTGTCTGCTAAAAAAAAAAAAAAAAAAAGAAAAGAAAAAGAACCCTCAATATTTTTCCATAATACAGAAATATTAATTTTTCTCTTTCGTACCTTCCGTACTAATTAATATTTCAACCCATGCTTTTGTACATTGTAAAATTGTAATATTATTATTGTTTTAAAGCATTAGCGCATGTTCGTCTACTCGTATCTTACCCGTTATTAAGCCAGAGACGGTAGCCATTAGTAAAGTAACAGCCAACGCAAGTATTTGATAACCTGCTTGTTCTATCGCCGTTCTATTACGACCAGGTAAAATACCATAATCATTTCGCATCTCGGAGCTTAATTTTTCCAAGCTAGGCGCTCGTGCTGGGAAAATCTGTACAAAAAATTTGAAAAGGGGAAAAAAAGAAAAAAGAAGAAAAAGGAAAGAAAATTAAAGCTTAAACGTTAAACAAATGAAACATTAAAAACGAAAAGTTATCAACAACGAAACAAAGTTTTTTTTTTTTCATCGCTTGAAACATTTAATTATACATTTTCCCTATTTGATAGAGAATTTTTTTTTTTTTTTTTTTTTACGAATTAATATTAAACATTTTAACGCAAATTGTGCACATCTCAAAATAATTTCAAGTTGTTTACTCGTGGTGCGCTATAACCCCTCAGGCAAACTTCGAACGGCTGTTATTTATCACAGAGTGAATAATTATGATTAAAAAAAAAAAAAGAAAAAAAAAAGAAAAAAAAAAGAAAAAGAAAAAGAAACAGAATAAAAGATATTGTACATTCTTTGAAGCCTCGGAAATAATAATAAAGTAGGTTTGAAAATGCATTACCAATTCTGTCATCAAAAAAACAAAAAAAAAAAACAAATAATAATTCATGAATCATGCAATAAACAAATTGTTTCAATCGAGCTCAAAGTCTGATCTGATGTTGAGTTCTACATTTCTATTAGGATTAACGAGGATTAAATTTTGTCGAAGAACGAATGAATTTTTTTTTATAAGTATTTTTTATTTATAAAATAATTTTAAAAAAGAAATAAAAAGAAAAAAAAAGAAAAAAAAAAAAAGAAAATAAAATCCGCTAATATACGATTTAATGTATCGTTAAAAATTTGAAAATTATTACCCAATATGTTCTTCCTTGAGAAAAATAAAAAAGAATTTAAGAGGTAAGGTACGGTTTAAGAGAATTACGTACCTCGTAAAGGGAATAATCGTAAGAATTTTGCGTGGCCAGTGCGGCCATGATAGCACCGAAAATTCCTGCAAGCACTCCTGGCATTCCGTGCAAATTGTGAACCCCGCAAGTATCGTGTATACGTAGCCGTTTCTGTATAAATGGCTGCAAAAACGTATAGAAAATTATTACTTACTTATTTATACTTGAAAATTTCCGAGTGTTTACACAGGCACGCGTATAACCAATTTATTTGTAAGGGTTGTTTTTACGTAAAGCGAGCCCTTCTGCGACAACGATCTTCCAAGGATTTTGTATACGATTTACGAGCCCTTTACACGGACCGTTTGCGAAGGCAACTAGGATCGGCTCTTACTCGTGGACCACAAAACCCGATACTCGAAGAGGAAAGAAATAGAAAAAGAAATAAAAGATGAATGGATAGATTCATTCGAGGATGACCGGAGCGTCTTACATTCGACGAAAAACAATTTTGATATACTTTTTGAAAATGTATTTGGATAGATAGATCGTTTATCGATCGATTCTTACTTTCGATTTTTCTTTTTATATTTTCACGAATTCCAAACTATTTTTACCAAAATTTCCTTAAGTCCTATTTGAACGTTGATAGTTACTAAATATTACGTTAGAAACTATGAAACGGGCGTTGAATGAAAATAAATAAATAAACAAAAGTGCCCGTTTCATAGTTTCCAACCTAATACATATAATCGTATTACGTAAGTATTTTATCTTTCTTTTTTCTTTTCTTTTTTTTTTTCTAAATATTTTTCTAAATCTTTTCATTCTATTCTGGATTTAATGAACGATTACACGTTAATTTCGTATTGCATTTAGATTAAATTTCTGTCAAACGAAGGAAAACATCGTATAACTCTGATCGCCCGTTAATTGCTAGCTCATACATATATATATATATAGATATATCATCTCCTTTAGTTCTCGTTAATTAAAAGATAAATATCAAATACCATAAGATATATGTATCCAAGGACACTGAGCAAACCAGCCAAAGAACCAACGATCAGTGCTCCTATCGGTTCACACATCATACCTGTTAGAAACAGAATATGTAAGAAGATGTAAGAAGATGTAAGAAGATGTAAGAAGATTTGTAGAACTTGTGTTGTCAACGTTCGATTTATTTATTTATTTATCTTTGTTTTTTTGCATTTTTTTTGTTTTTTTTTTTTCTCTATTGAAATTTATCTCCAAATGAGATTGTTCATGGGATTGAATTGATTACGATGGTATTACGATTAGTCGTGCAATTACGTCGAATTAAGGTAGATAGAGGTAACATGGTATCGTGTAAATACCTGCGGCTGTGCCAATGGCAACACCACCAGCAAGTGTAGAATTTTGTACGTGCACCATGTTGAATTTGTTATCCTTTGAAATTAGAGCGGACGTGGCGAAGGCGATCACGCAGCTTCCCGAAATCGAAAGGAGAGTGTTTATTATGGCTCTCTGTTGGTCATCCCCTTCAAGTGCCGCACTGTTGAACGACGGCCAGAACAGCCAAAGAAAGATCGTACCTTTGATCAAAAGAAATTTCAGATTTATTTACATTTCTAAAGTTTATTATATTTTTCACGTACTTATGATCTCTCCTTTTACTATTTTTACGTACACTATTTACGTATAAGCAAATATACGAATTTTTTTTATTGTATCATTCATAAAAAAAAAAAGAAAAAAGAAAAAAGAAAAAAGAAAAAAGTTCATAAAAAAAAATCTTTTATGAAATATATATATATATATATATATATATATATATATATATAATAAAATTTATTAATATATACAAATAATAATAATTTATTAATAAATATAATTTATAATTTAAATATATACATTAATTAATTAATTATTTATACATTATATTTATGTTATTATTAAATTCTTATCTATAAATATTTCTTTTTTTTTTTAAATAATTTCTCTTACTTTTAAATTACTCTTGATATTAATTAAACTAGATTATAAAATAATTAAATATATTAAAATTTTAATTTTAAATAAATATTAATTATTTATCAGTTATTATTTATAAAATAACTACCCAATCATATCATTAGTTATAATAAGAATAATTATAAAAATTTATTTATATATTATAATATATGACATATTTTAAATTATCTATTTATTATGATAATAATTATTTTTACTTTATTTAAATTCTTACTTAATATTCGATTATATAATATAATATGTGATATATTTGAAATTATTTATTTATTAGGAGAATACTTCGTTTAAATAATTATATTTTATTATATTATTATATTTAATTTAAATATTTATATATATATATTAAAAATATCAAAAAATCAATAAATATTTCTTTTTAGTAATTTTTTTTATTAAAAATAAGATAAAAATGTATATTTTTTTCATCAAAAATTAATAAATTTTTCTTTTAATAATTTTTTTATTAAATAAAAATTAAATATTTATTATTAAATTAAAATTCCTTTAATAATCTTTTTATTTCTATATATTATATTATAATAAATAAATATATATATATAATAAAATTTATTAATATATACAAATAATAATAATTTATTAAATTTTTATCTATAAATATTTCTTTTTTTTTTTAAATTTAATAAATATCTTTTTTTTTTTTTAATAATTTTTCTTACTTTTAAATTACTCTTGATATTAATTAAACTAGATTATAAAATAATTAAATATATTAAAATTTTAATTTTAAATAAATATTAATTATTTATCAGTTATAATTTATAAAGTAACTACCTTATTATATTTAATTTAAATATATATATATATATATATATATATATATATTAAAAATTTTATAAAATATCAATATTTTATGAAGTTCAAAAAAAAAAATCTCTCTTTTATTTACTTACCAAGTCGATTCAATAAATTTAACAAATGATAATTTAACGAATAATATAACAATAACCGATGATTACTGCAGTAACGTAATCGTAGAACGATTAGAATGCATTTTATGAGAGAACGCAAAATCAAATTATATGAATGAACTTTGAAAACTTACCGATCATTGCGAATATATCCGATTGATAGGACGGTCCCTCGAGATGATGTTCCTTCGGTTTCTCCTTCATTCCAAATATGAAACTGACGGCCAATCCGAAATAAGCACCAAATGCATGAACGTACATGCTGTCACCGGCATCGACGGCCTATGAAATTCGAAAGGAAAGTTATCATTCCGTTACACTCGAGAATAAGAGAAAGACAGGGTCACGATAGTTCGTAGTAGATTATCTATATATTTGGTAAATCGATTTTCACGGACAGCCGAGTCTGCACGGTAGTTCACGTGAACGAGAACAGAACTGACCCGAGTTAGAAATACGAGGGCTAACTTTTTCCTTTAATACTTTTCAATATCTCAAGTATCGAAATATTGTCGTAAGAAAAAGAGAAAGAAATTTTCCTCCCCTTCTCTCACAACTCAACCACCCAACCACCCACCTCAGGCTTTTTTAAAACTAACACATGCAGGTAGTATAACTCGATTCGACGAGAACGTCGATAGTTCCTTCGATGTTATCGTTCTTTTCAACGTGCGTTAAGTTCGTTTCCTCGAAAATATTTTTTAATAAAAGTTTAACAAAGTTTTATAATATATTATCTTCCTTTTATTTCTTTTTCCTTTCTTCTTCTTTTCTTTTTTTCTTTGAGAAAATAAATATTTAGATTAGATATGTCTTATTAAGAGTTATTAGTTATTAGTTTATCTGTCGATGATAACGATGGCGATACTTTTGCATTGAAATTTTATTAAATTTACACGTTATATCGATGTATCACATTTGCCATGATTAATATATTTAATGATTAATATATAATATTTTCTATATCTTTGGAAGTTACGTTAATATTAATTTTATCGAAAAAAAAGAAAAAAAAAATATGGCACAGATATTATGAAACAATTAAATGCTTTAATGAAATTAATTATGTGAACAGAATAGCAAACAAAATCCTTTTGTATTAAATCTGTTATTTCGAATATAATTCTCAATCAAAAATTAACAAAATAATTAATTTGCAAATTATTTTTATCAAATATTATCATAAACAAAAATATATTATATAGTTGGATAAATTCTATTTTATATCGGCCATTTATACGTTTGAATTTATTTATCAAGAATATTACAATATTTATATATTCATATTTGATAAATTATTATATATTATAAAAATCGAGTTATAAATAACAACATTTAATAGATAAAAGGATTAGTAATTAAATAGATTTAATTCTGATTAATACGAAATAAGATCAAAAGTTTTTAACTGGGACAAAAGTTTTTACGCTTATAGTTGAACTATTTAAAAATAAAATTTGCCGAAAAAGTCTCGTAAAAATATAAACGATTTTACAAATCACTTTAAGATCATTTTTGGTATCTATACTGTACGATTAATAAATGATATCTATCGTATATTAATCACTGGTTATATTTTCTTTTTCCTCCAAAAAAAAAAAAAAAAAAAAAAAAAATGCATCGATTGTTTTCATAAAAAATATGAAAAAAAATTGTTTAACAATTAAGCACCATTATGAATAATTTTTAATGATCCGATATAAAATATTAGAGAGACAATTTATATTATGCAACCCAGAGGTAACTCAGATGTAAACCCAGATTCAATTCTGAACTAAACCTAAATTAAATTTGATCTATGTTCTGATAAAAAGCAGATAAAACCTAGCATGATAAAAAAAATATATATATATATATATCGCGTATAAATCGAAATGTTTCTTAAGCAAACAAATAAAATAATATAAATAAACTTACCATAAGATGATGCTCACCAATGTACTTATTGATGGTGTAGACTATCAGTTCTATGATACCCATAAATACGAGTTGCATATAAGTCGTTTTACCAAGTAGTGCACCCATGGATATCAATGGAGCTGCCACTGCAACGTCGGCACTGAGCAGACTAAAATTTGTGCGATTTGTAAATCGATAAATACAGTATGCGTTATTAAATTCATCCTTCTTTACCTTTGCAAAGAAACGAAGAGAAGGAATGAAAGAGAGAGAAAGAGATAAGGAGAGAGAGAGAGAGAGAAAGAGAGAGAGAGAGAGAGATTGAGTATTCATAATGTTCGTTTCAAACGACGAATGACACGTAGCTTATATCTTTTGAATT